ATAAAGCATTTTCAAAAACTTCTTGTCATACTTCATTCGAATATTTTCAACAAGTAGGGACCAGTTTACAAGTCAGCAGTTTCCTCATTGGCTTAGATTCTCAAGGCTTAAGGAAATGAAGATATTGTGTTAATGGCATATTTCTGAAAAGAGTTGGGATAGCTGAAAGAGTAAGAGGGCAGATCCTAAATAAACCAGGGCTTCAAGGCTGACCTTTGCAGTCATCATTCTGGCCTGCCTCTCCTGGCCCCCACCATGGATGGACCAAAGGGAGTTAGTTGTGCTGGGAAATAGGAGGCTTCTCAGCTTGCCATCATGATAATGATGACCTCAATACCACATTTGTCATCTGTCAAGTATTATGAGCCACACCCCAAACTAGATATTTCCTTCTATGTAGTCTTACAGTCACTTTTTAGATGAGACTACTGAAATTAAGAGATGGTGATGGTTTTCATAGGGTTACACAGCTAGAAAAGCCAGAATTCAAACCCAGGTAGATGTGAATTTTGTGCTTGTGTTCTTAGTCAGGATATCTCATTCTGAGTTATAAAACACCCATGCATGTGCACACACACAAAATGACCATTATTATTATTATTATTAATATTATTATACTGGGAGGTCTCATTTCTGTTTTGAAGTCTATTAAAGGCAGCTATAATCTACTCTTGCTATTAAATTTACCTTTTTGTAGTTTTCTTTCTAGGGATATTCTAACACTATGAGAAAGTCAAAGGGAGGTAGAAGTGAAAAAATAAAACTATCAATACATTCACCTAAAGTTGGACATTTTTGTGACATAATATAAATATGTTAAAACGTACTTTGATTCATCTCAGTTTTATTATTCTACCTGGTTTTCAGATAAATCATTTATTTTTTATTTTTAATGTTTATTAAACATAGTATAATAATTATTTATAATTATGATTTTTGGCTTTCTGGGTATAATTGATTGTTTATATATACTTTTTTTACATAATTTTATCATTTGGAAATTTTTTATACTTTTTAAAAAGGATTTTATTTTATTTATTATTATTTAGAGATTTTTGCTGTAGGGTGCACGTGCTCACTGGAGAGACAGAAAGAGCAAAAAAAATCACTCATCAAGGGGGCTGTCTACTCCACAATCTCTTCTCCATTCTTCTCTGAATTTTGAGCATGAACACACATGTACCCGATGTGTGTTCAAGTCACCAGGTCCAAGACTCGAACCAATATTGGCCATATAGGAATCCAGTTCCTTAACTACTATACCATCAGATAAATCATTTATTTTTTATTTTTAATGTTTATTAAACATAGTATAATACTTATTTATAATTATGATTTTTGGCTTTCTGGGTATAATTGATTGTTTATATATACTTTTTTTACATAATTTTATCATTTGGAAATTTTTTATACTTTTTAAAAAGGATTTTATTTATTATTATTTAGAGATTTTTGCTGTAGGGTGCACGTGCTCACTGGAGAGACAGAAAGAGCAAAAAAAATCACTCATCAAGGGGGCTGTCTACTCCACAATCTCTTCTCCATTCTTCTCTGAATTTTGAGCATGAACACACATGTACCCGATGTGTGTTCAAGTCACCAGGTCCAAGACTCGAACCAATATTGGCCATATAGGAATCCAGTTCCTTAACTACTATACCACCTGCTAGCCCCCTTAACAATTCTTAATATGCCTATAAACCTGGTATACCTTGCGTGTTTGTTTTAATTTCTCCTGTTTTGCTTTGTAAAATGTCTGCCATTATGATTCATAGCATACTGGCTTAATTTAAGACTTTCTTACTTTGTTTTTTCTTTCTTTCTTTCTTTCTTTCTTTTTTTTTTTTTTTTTTTTTTGAGTTTTTCCTATAGGGTACATGTGCTCACCGGAGAGAAAGAGATAGCAGAAAAGCGTGTAAACACCCTCAGTGGGGTGGGGATTTTGGGCATGCACACTCACTTGGCATGTTTCCCAAACCACCATGCCCCCTGGCTGGTCCATGAGTTCCATCTTTTTAAAACAATTCTTCTTTCACTGACAAATTCTGGATTGATTCTATTGTGATACATTTTAAAATATTTTTTCAGGGGCCTCATGAACCAGATCTAATACAAAGGATCTCCTAACCCATTCATTCTGTCAAGTTTCACCAAGATTTTCACATTGGAAGATTTTTGTTGAGATGTTATCCTCTCATAAAAGAAATAATGAATTGTATCACTTTCAAGTTGGCAAAAAATCTACATACTAGCTTTCCTTATATGTACTATTTCCTTTCCAAAAAGAGAGTTTTTAAAATTTTTTGGCAAAACATTTTCATATCTAAAGCTGTTTTCCTACCCACACCCCATGCTGTTTTGTGTTAATGATTCCTTCCGATTTTAAGTTAAATTCGGTGATATCTATAATGACAAATTCAGAGAATGAACCTAAGTACCAAGGCACATCGTTCCTTTACTTTGACCTCAGAGCCACATTACACAAAATATTGGGTTGTTGGAAAAGTTAGGACTCCTTTTTGCATGGAAAAACAGAAAAACACATTGTGACTTTCCTGACGACCCAATATATATTATATTTTTGGAGAGATTTTTGCTATAGGGTACGTGCGCTCTCCAGAAAGACAGAGAGAGAGAGAGAGACAGAAAGTGAGAAATCGTCCCCTGGGGGGATTGCCACACTGCAATCCCTTCTCCATTCTCCTCTCTGGATCCTGGGCACACATGTACACATGCCTGGATTGAGTTTAAGCCATCAGGTCTGGGACTCGAACTGCAGTCGACTACATGAGAATCTAGCAATATAGTCATTACGCTCACTGCTGGTCCCCTGACAACCCAATATTTAGCTAAGCTTAGACGAGAGGTGGGGATAAGGCTGGGGATAGACCCTTTGTGTTACTTTTTTTCCAAGCTAGAGAAATGCTTTATTCAGATTTAAAAGTAACTACTGCGTGAATTCTAAGTAGTTTTCCATGAATAGACTGTACTTCTCTTTCTGTTTCAACCTTTCTTTTCTCCCTTCAGTCCCTCCCATATCGAAAATGAAATGACAAGAAAGAAATCCTTGTATATTAAGGAAGAATGGAAATGTTTAAAAATTACAAAAGTCAGGGCCAACAGGTGGCCTGATGGTTAAGGTGCTGGACTCCGATCCCACATGGCTGACCACAGTTCGAGTCCTGGACCTGGCGGCTTCTTTCTCACTTTCCCTTTCTCTGTCTCTTTCTGGTCAAATTAGGAAATAATAATAATAATTCAAAGCTATAAAATGGTCTGGTTTTTAACTTTGTTTTTATTTTTAATTTTTTGGGGGTAACTTTATACAGAGGAATTCCCAGAAATAGATACACACACATTCTAAAAGAAATACAGGCATATGTCAGAACACAAATGGCTTGAACGTGATGTGCTCACCTCTTTGTGGTGAAGGTTGGGTATTACAACACATTGGCTTCCCCACCAGGAACACAGGAACACTACCCCTCCCTCCCACTACAAGAGTTTATGTCATTTATTTTCTGAGCTAAAAATCAAAATTAGCTATGATGAAATCGTTAATATTTTTAGAAGAAACATTTATTGTTTTATGCAAATAGGTATGTGTATGACATATAAATTTTGTCATTCCCTTGGCAAGCCAATAATGACCAGAGATAGTCATAATGAATTTTACAGTCTGTTGATACTAGTTGTCTAACAGTGGGCAGAGGGTCTCAGGTACAGAATTGTTTTAGGCAGTCTTGAAGAGGGGCTGATAGGAAGGGTGTTTCCCTGAATACATGTGGTAGTTCTTTAAAAATTACTCTAAAGCCATAGAATGTTTTCTGGTTACAATAGCCTCCTTTATGTGGATTTGGTAAGATTCGCCTTCATTGACTTGTGGCTTTAGTATTTTAGCTTTGAGAAGCCCTGAAATGACTTGAACCTCTTTTTTAAATCCAGTTTTGTTTCCCAGACAGGAGACTTCACAGAAACAGAATCATCTTTGATTTGCTAGGGACAATTTAAAGGTCTGGGAATAGATAAAACTTAGAAACATCACACTGGAACTTTTCATTGTTAAAACACTTTGTATTAATCTAAAATATTTTGGCTACTCAGTGCATTAAAATGTGTTCATTTCATTTTAAAAGCTGTCTATTAATCTATGTGTGCGATTAATTGCTTCCAGATGTTTTGTGCTCCTTTCAAGTAGAGTTCTCTTTAGTTAGTCCTCTTAGTATTCCTAAGAAGAAAGGATATATTCATTTGAGGTTTATTTTATAGGAAGAGATATTAAGAAAAAAAAAAATCAACATTCTCTTGTGAAAGGAACTTGGTCCCAAGAGGGAGACAACCCTCTACCTCTCTTTCTACCTCATAGTTCACGGAAGCATCTGGTTTATGTAGTCGTTCCTTTTAAAAAAAAGTGTATTATTTATTTATGAGTTTTTTGCCATAGGGTGCATGTGCTTGCTGGAGAGACAAAGGGAGACAGAAAGAGGGAAAGTGAGAAATCACCTCAGGGGTGATGACTACGCCACATCCCTTCTCCTCCATTCTCCTCTTGAGACTTTGAATATGCACACGCACCTGGTGTCATTTTAAGCCCTAGATCTGGGGCTTGAACTGTGGTCAACCATGTGGGAGTTCAACACCTTAACTACCATGCCACTGGCTTGTGGGTAGTCATTCTTTTTAAGGGGAAAGAGAAACAGAACTTTCCCCCTATTAATTGCAGAAAGATTATCCTGAAGGTCATGCATGCTCATGGTAACAAAACAGACACCAGGGGAAAATCCAAAGTTCCTCTCACCCACCTTTCTTTATTTTTAATACAGAGAGTTTACAAGGTTACCAAAGGATGAATAAATCACATTAAATAGAGATCACTGTTATTATATATCCTATTTAGTCTCAGATTTAGTCTTTTTGCAAACTATTCATCTTTATTTACTGTCCCTATTATTGCTATTATTGTTGTTTTTAACCTTTATCCATTTTTTTTTCCTTTCTAGTTTATTCCCATGCCTGTACTCTATGGGGTTTTCCTGTACATGGGAGTAGCATCCCTGAATGGTGTGCAGGTAAGTTGTCCACAGCAATCTGAACAGGGGTTTTCTAGTAGTAAACACCCAGTTCCAGATCTTTTTTTTTGGAGAGATTTTTCGCTATAGGGCATGTGCACTCGCCAGACAGACAGAGACAGACAGAGAGACAGAAAGCAAGAAATCACCCCCCAGGGGGGATGGTCATGCCACAATCTCTCCTCTCGGGATCTTGGGCACGCACGCACACGCACCCAGCGTGAGTTTTAAGCCATCTGGTCTGGGACGTGAACCGTGGTCGACTACGTGGGAGTCCAGTGACATAGCCATTACACTAACTGCTGGTTCCCCCGGTCCCAGATCTTTGAAGCCAAGTGCTAATCATTAACTGTGGAGTTTTGCCAAATGCATTTATTTTCTATTTTCTCCACTATCCACCCACTTTTCATTTCTGGTTAATCAAACAAAGTCAATGAAGTCATCCCGTGTTAACAAATATTATCCTATGTACCCATTCTTGAAATAGGCTGTTAAACGTCATTTCCCCATAGGGCCAGGTGGTGGTGAAGTGTGGGCACAACTGACCCACGTGGGAAAAGTCCTGGTTTCCTGTCTCAGGATCACCCTGAGTGCAGCAAGTGTATGTGCTCTTACTCGTGCTCCAGTCTGGTTGAGCCTGGGGGTGGATCGTAGCATGTAGCCCCTGTTAGGGATGCTTGTGTCTAACTGTCTCTCTCTCAGAAGGAGAGATAAACTTTTTTTTTTTTTAAAAAAGTCATTTGTCCAGGAAAATGAGGGAACTAAAATCTTTCTTTTCCTTTCTCTGTTTTCCTCTTGCCTCCATCCTCCTTCCCCTCCCCATTATTCTCTCCTTCTCCCTCCCCTTCATCATCCTGCTACCCTTCTCTCTATCTTTTTTTTTTTTCTCTCTAAGAAGGACATCTAACTCTTTCAGTGTGTCCAGGATAGTAGCTATCCGTTTGCCTTATGAAGCAAATACAAAGGACAGGCTATTCTTAACTCAGTTTGCTTTCACATGGCTGAGATCAATGATCAAAAGTGTTGCACCAAAAAAAAAAAAAAAAAAAAAAATGCAGAAGAAGAAAAAGAAGAAGAAGAAGAAAGTCAGTGTGGTTTATGTGCTGCTTTTGTTAAAAACTTCAGCTATTCACAACTTTTGTAAAACTGACCCCCTTTTTTTAAAAAAAATATAAGGGAAAACTTTGTAAGGGACTTTGTCTTTCAATTGAGGCTTAATTTAATTGGCACCAGGAAACTGGAAGTACTTCTGCTGTTTTCTGGCACCTTGTTAATTGTGGCCTTATTTAGCACTTAGTAAAGTATTAACTGGAGAAGACGGCATGTTCTGTGAACATTATAAGACTTTATTTGAACCCCTTCAAAATAGTCCTTGCTTTCATGAAGTTAGATTAATTTGGTTTTAGAGTCAAATAGATCAGGGCAAGTAGCCAGATCCCCCAAATGAGAAACGCTTATTTTACTTTTCCCTATTTAGGTTCATTAAGTAGTGTTCTTTACCATTTGGGTATTTGTTCTTTCTTTACCATTTGGATATTTGAAATACAAAATGGTTCTTCATAGACTGGACTAGATGAATGTGGATGTGTGCTTATTTATGTGATGAAACTCTTTTGGGGGAATAAAATTTGTAAAGATAGTTTATATTTACTGCCCTTGTAAATATTCTTTATTCTTCTAAATGGAAAGATTAAGAAATTAGTATACCTCCCAAACTAAAAGTTTTAGTTTTGTTTGTCCTGAAAGACCTGGTCTACATCAAAATCTTAATTCTGTACATTCTAGGGGTGTTGTTGATTATTGGAACTCAGTATACGTTTATTAATTTTTTAAAAAGGGAAAAAAATCAATCATATAATGGTGGAGAAAAAAAGCCATTCTGAAGAGACTAGTAGATTTTTTATTTTAAATTTAATTTAATTTATTATTATTTCTTTCTTTTCTTTTTTTTTTTTTGGAGAGGTTTTTGCTACAGGGCGTGTGTGCTTGCCAGACAGACAGAGAGAGACAGAGAGACAGAAAGCAAGAAATCACCCCCCGGGGGGATGGCCACGCTGCAATCCCTTCTCCATTCTCCTCTCGGGATCTTGGGCACGCACGCACACGCGCCCAGCATGAGTTTTAAGCCACCGGGTCGACTACGTGGGAGTCCAGCGACATAGCCATTACGCTAACTGCTGGTCCCTTATTATTATTTCTTAATTTGCTATAGGGTACATGTGCTCTCAGAGAGAGAAAGAGAGAGAGAATACAAGCCACCAGATCTAGGACTCAAACGGTCATTGGCCATGAGAGAATCTAGCGCCTTAACCACTGCCACCAGCTGTCCCCATTAGATTTCATAAATTCTGCAGTGCTATTGCCTCCATGCCTTTTCTGCTTTCCTTACTTCTCTTTTGACTCTTTCCTATAGACCTTTTTGAAGTAATTTGATTCAGCAAGAAATTTTATAACCCCATGTTCACAAATGAAAAGGCCCCCACCAGCTAAAAATAGCTGTAGAGAAAGAAAACTCTTTTTTAAAAGGTTTGTGCCAAAGGGTGCATGTGCCTGCCAGAGAGAGATGGAGAGAGAGACAATGAGAGGGAAAGTAAATCACCCCCTAGCGGGGGGATGGTCTTCCCACAATTCTGTCTCGTCCATTCTCCTCCAGGGATTTTGGGCTCTCAAGCACAAAATCTGGCGTGACATTCAAGCTGCCAGGTTCAGGACTCGAACTGCAATCAGACATGTGGGAGTCCAGCATCACCTGCTGGCCCCTGAAAGAAAACTTTTTAAATAGGAAAAAGAAGTTTGTCTGTAATAGTCTATACAACTTTTATACTTCTTTCCCTGCAGAAGAAAATAGAGACATTTCAGAGTTCCTATCGCTTAATTATTCAATTTGGTAGCTACTAACTGAATATCTTCCATTGAGAGAGCCTATGATAGACACTTAGCTCTTGCTGTCTCATTCATCATCATCAATGTCAGCTCAGCGGTTGCACAGCACCTGGTCAGCAGTCATGTCAATACCTGTTTATACATGACCGTGTGATAGCCTGTCTCACAATCAGATATCTAATTGTTTTCACCCTTAAGTCCACTATCATAATCATGTGGCTTTTTTCCTGAAAAGAAAGGGTAATACATTGCTGTATTAGCCATGATATACCATAAATAATGCACAATTTATGAAGATATCAATGCATCACATTTTCAAGTTGGATATTTGCTTTATAGTCTTAGAACAGCTCTGAATTGTATATCTTGCATAGTATCACCTCCTCTTCTTTTGGAAAGACAGCTGAGGCAGAGTTAGATTTCTTCGGCATATCATTACTAAAATTTGCACAAGATCCTCTCTCCTCAGACTTAGATAATAAAAATAGAGACTAGAAAATGAGCATCTAGAATTTATGTTTTGGTTCGTGACTTCATTCTTTGGTGGCCCTTATCTCATATATCAGAGTACTTCAGAGAGATTGTGAAAAAAAAAATAGGATAAAAGTGTGAGTTTATTTTGAGGCAAAAAAAAACAAAAAAAAAATTGAGGGCCAGACAGTGGTGCAGTGGTAACACAACTAGACCTTCGCAGAAAAGGTTTCAAGTTTATTTAAGGTCCCGTATTCACATCCTGAGACCTCCCTGGGAAAGTCGAACTTGTATATGTGTGCGTACCAGTGATCAGGCTGGCTGAGAGTGAGGTAGACAGTGGTATGAAGATCCCGTAGTGGTGCCTGCCTCTTTCTCGCTCAAAGAAGAAGTAAGTGATTAAACTTTTAAAAAATTTAAATCCATGCATCATTTTTTATAATATACATTTTCCATAAACTTTTTTTTTTTTTTCAGGATTTTGCCATAGGACACATGCACTTGCTGGAGAGAAACAGAGAGAGACTGTGAGAAGCAAAGTGAGAAATCATTTCCCAGAGGGGATGGCCACACCACAATCTCTTCTTCTCCGTTCTCCTCCTGGGATTTTGGGCACACATGCACATGTTTCCAGCATGATTTTCTAGCCACCAGGTCTAGGACTCGACTGTAGTCAGCCACATGGGAGTCCAGCATTGTAACCACTACACCACATGCTGACCCCTCCATCATTTTAAAGACCCTTGTATATATGTAAAATAATAACAAAAATGAGAGGACTTGTACTGTGTCTTACTGCACTAGATTACATTTCGGTACTCCCTGACCGGTGCTTTGTCCTCTGAAAAGGACATTGTTTGCCTGAATTATGGACTATGCATCTCTAATAGTTAGTTAGGAATAGTGGAAGTGCCTTTGTGTATCAGCTCTTGAAGTCATTCTCCTTTCTTTCCTCAGTTCATGGATCGCCTGAAGCTGCTTCTGATGCCTCTGAAGCATCAGCCTGACTTCATCTACCTGCGTCACGTCCCCCTGCGCAGAGTCCACCTGTTCACCTTCCTGCAGGTCTTGTGTCTGGCCCTGCTCTGGATCCTCAAATCAACCGTGGCTGCTATAATTTTTCCAGTCATGGTAAAGATTCCCTCGATTAAACCTTGTGAGATCATGCCCATATGTGATATGGAAGACACATGCATCTTTTCTTTGTGGTTGCACTTTTTTCCAACTTTGACCCCATCTTTATTATCAATTGTAATTTAAGTTTCCCTTGGCTATGGTTGTTCAGATAGAACTGAGAATCAGGCTTACCTGAGTTCAAATACTGGCTCTGGTTCATGCAGACCAGTGAGTCTCCTTGACCTTTTTAGTAAAAGGACCTGATTATTGTTCTTCTGAGGATCCACAGGGAATGTCAAGCAGATAGCATAATATCTGACATGTAGCAGACACCAGTGCACTTGGTATTTCTAGAATATCATTGTGTGATACACGCAATCTAAATAAGCATATAGGATAGTCCAGTCAAATAGTAGAAGTGTTTGGTGACTTCTGAAAAATCACGCAGTGCATTGGAAGAAATGGAGCCAGGAGTTCAATTATTGCACTTCTTATGGTTTGTATCCAGCTAAGTTTAAGGAGAAAGCTGGACTTTCAGCTTTTGCCATGTTTTGATCAGAATCAAGGAAATACAACCAACATTCCACTCTGAATCTCATGTGCAAAAAGGAAAAAAAGGAAATGAAAGCTCTGTATTTGGCTTTGTTACTGAATTTTATACTTTATCGTAACTCTCCATTTCTTGCACTTAAAACAAGTCACAACACCAGCCTCAGGTTAGTGCTATCTCCCCTACGGCTTTCCATGTACTCACTCTATTTTATTTTTTATAAAAATCCTCATACTCTTAGCCAGGATTATTCTTTAATTTTATGTACATTTGCAACTGTTTTTCTCCTAGGGATACAGGGGAAGATGGTGTAAAATATGAGTGATATTTGTTAAGTCACATTTTTTTTCCTTAATGGTCCCATATATCTCTCTTTTTCCCCTTAAACCTCATTATCTTACTGGAAAACACACAGGGTATGAGAAATGACTTCATGTGCTGTTAGTATTATTTGCAAAACAACTGTACAGTTTTGTTAGAACCAGGAAAAATAAAGTTAGACTTGAATAAATTTGAAATATGTTCAATAACTCACTTATTGCCTGTGTTAAATAATAAAAAATGCTTTACCTTTGTAAAGCATCTTTATCTTTTAGAATTTTTAAATGGTCACAAAACAGTCCTGTTGGGTTCAGAAAAGTCATGATGCATTTTTATACAGAAAAACGTCATGACTTTTCCAACTACCAAATATAATCTCAATAGGGCAGATGTTATTAATTTCTCTAGGAGATGAAGAAACTGGAGAGTACGATGTACCTAAAGACGACTGATTCAGTGCAGAGCTGGGACTCCTATAACTTGCTGCTAACTAATTTTACTGGTGAACTGTATTCAGTTAAAGGATGGCTGAAGTAGCCCTGTGAAACAAAATGGTCTATGGATAATCAAATATTACCTCATTGTTAATACTTTAAAGATATCTTAGTGTACTGTGTGTTTTTTCAGTTTTCTTGATTTAAAAAAAAATACCTGTCAAATTTTTTATTATAAAAGGAAGTCAGAGGATGCATGCACTCACCAGAGAGAGACAGTCTCTGGAGAAAGAGAAAGAGAGGGAAAGTATAAAAGACTCCCTGTGAGGAATGGTCATGCCGCAAGCCTTTGTCCATTTCTCATTCATTTTAGGATTTGGGGAACACACACACAGCATGTTCTTCAAGCTTCTGGATCTGGGACTCAAACCACATAGTTGGCCATGTGAGATCCAGCTGCCTTAACCACCGTGCCAGCACCGGTTAGTCCTTAATTTTGAATAATTAGAAATCATATGCAGGCTCTGTTTTGCCTTTATACTTTTAGTTCTTCTATTCAAAATAAGACATGGAAGAAAATAGTTATAAAAAAGTTATCCTCTTCACATTAAAATGCTAATTGACTACTATAATACATTTCAGTAAACAAAGTGAGTTTAACTGAGACTTGTATGAAACAACTTTTTCCATGAAGAAAATTATTATGGTACACATAAGATAAGCCTACCCTGTCAAGATGAGTTTTGTCCTACTCAAGCCTTGGAGAAAAGTAGTTTCTGCTGACTTTGATGGGGCAATATCGCTTTGTGTTCTGCTCCTGTGACCAAGAACAGAAATGCCCATGTCTGGGCAATGGAAGAAAACAGAGGTTTAGTTCGCTTATGGTTTTGAGGCTAAAGAGTTCAAGAGCTTGGTACAGGCAAGTGGTGAATGTCCTTTGACTACACCACAACCTGGGAGAGGGCAGGAGAATGTGCAGAGCAGAGCCTGTGGGTCTGTTTCATTTTCTCTCCTTATAAACCACGCCCCCCACAGCACTCAGTCATTAGGGACCCCACCCTGATGCCTCATCAGATCTCAGAGTTCCCACCTTTCATCAACAGAATCAGATTATGCCTCCCATTGCCCTCACAATGGCTCACCGGATTCCAATACATGAATTTGGGTGGGTACTATGATTTCATCTGGCATATTTCATTCATGCTTTTGTATTTTTACCTTTCCAGATCTTGGCACTTGTAGCTGTCAGAAAAGGCATGGACTACCTCTTCTCCCAGCATGACCTCAGCTTCCTCGATGATGTCATTCCAGAAAAGGACAAGAAAAAGAAGGAGGATGAGAAGAAAAAGAAAAAGAAGAAGGGGAGTCTCGACAGTGACAATGACGATGTAAGGAACTTTCCAAAATTCCAAAGTAAAGCTAATTAAATAAGTAACTGTGAGAAGTGTAGATTTTTATACCTGGCGTGAGACGGAGGGCTGAGTTCTAAGGATGTTAATGTGGGGCTATGGCACTGGTCACTCAGTTCACCTCCATCATGCCTTATTTGCCTTCTTTGGTTTTTGTTTTTTAAATTTTCTTCTATCTTTCTATCACTATTAATATACTAATAATGACTTAATCTAAAAAAACACACACTTAGAGATATATATAAATATGCAAAGGGAGTTTACTTAGTAATGCTATAAAGTGTATTTTGTTTGCTATTGGTAATCCAGGATTTGTATTTGAGGTAACTCAGCTTCATATCATCTTAAGCCTAATGTGGACAGATCTGGTGATCTCACCTCCTGTGATCTATGATGTATGCTTTAGTAGGTTTTCTTTTCTTTTTTTTTTTTTTTTTGGAGAGGTTTTCGCTATAGGGCACGTGCGCTCGCCAGACAGACAGAGAGAGATATAGAGACAGAAAGCGAGAAATCTCCCCCCAGAGGGGATGGTCACGCCACAATCCCTTCTCCTCCATTCTCATCTTGGGATCTTGGGCACGCACACACATGTGCCCGGTGTGAGTTTTAAGCCACCGGGTCCGGGATGCAAACCCCGGTCGACTACGTGGGAGTCCAGCGACATAGCCCTTACGCTAACTGCTGGTTCCCAGTAGGCTTTCAACCGCAGTTCAGTGCTGTTGTCCCGTAGTGTCATTGTATTTGTATCAAGGTGATTCGGCATTATTTCTCTGCAATTCTTTAAGAAAAAGGAAAGGGAATGGGAGAGTGGGATCTTTTACGTAATTATAGTGGTCATTGTTGTAGTCTAGATGGGTCTCCTGCAATTGGGTGATGGAGTTAAGAAAGAAAGGGATTGCTCATTTTACAGATCTGCAATCAGTGCTAGGAGAAAAGCTACATTTTTGCTAATTGTCAAATGGCACATATGCTCTCCAGACAGAGATGGAAAGACAGAGCCTGGGGAAGCTGAAGGAGAAAGCATCCCCCAAATGGGGCATGTTCACACTGTGATCCCTTCTCTTCCATTTCTCCATCCTGTTGGGATTTTGAAAGCACCTCCACATGCACCCAGCATGTTTTTTTCAAGCCACTGGACCCATGTTGGGTCCAGCATGTTAACACTAGCCATAGTGCTGGATTTAGGATTTGTTGTTTTGTACTTTTTTTTTTTAACACACACACACACACACACACACACATTCTCTCTCTCTCTCTTTCTCTCTCTTACACACACACACAGCTTATCCTAGCAACTTTTGGAAAAGATTGCCAAAATGACATTTTTCAGGTGAAAATTTGCCCTAGATTTTATATAATACAGTATCAAAAATGATTTCTTGTGTATCTTTATCCATTCTCAAGTAGGAATATAGTTAATTTTTAGTGTCCACTCTTAGATCTTTAAATGATATATTTCTTGTTCCCATTCTTATAGATGAAGAGATTTAGACTGAAACTGTTAAATCATTTTAAAAACTTTTTCAGTTTCATTCAGGCATAATGGGCTAATAAAGTTGTATGTATTTAAAAGGTACATACCATGATGCTTTGATATACACCTTTAAGCCACTTTTTTAAATGTACACAAGTGTAAATGGCAAAACCTCTGGTTATTACAACTGGACTGGCTCTATGATTATATTATTTTTGTAGAACTTGGAAATGGTACAGTAAAGAAGGCAACAGGCAGATCTGGAGTTCAAATAAATCGATTTGATAAGAAAGGTTAAATACAGAAATTACATTTAGCTGAGAGAGAGAGAGTCTGAGGGAAGTCTTAAGACTGTTATCCATAGGGACCAGCAGATGGCATAATGGTTACATCGCTGGACTCCCATGTAGTTGATCATGGTTCAAGTCTGGGATCTGATGTCTTAAAACTCACACCAGGCATGTGTTCACGCATGCCCAAAATCCCAAGACAAGAATGGAGGAGAAGAGATTGCAGCATGGCCATTCCCCCTGGGGAGTGATTTCTCAATTTCTGTTTTTCTGTCTCTCTGATCAAAGTGCACATGCCCTGTAGCAAAAATCTAAAAATAAATAAATAAAAAAAAAGACTGTAATCTATCTTCAATAGGAACAGGTATATAGACTTTCTGTTTCTAGTGATGATAGAAAGGCAGAATGTATTTAAATTGCAGCAGACATTAAGTTGCAGTACTAAGAAGAATGGTGCACTTACACATTGAATAGAAATCAAAAATGGAAATGAATTTCCATATCATTCAAAACCATAAAAAGGCTGCCTGAAATAGTAAGATGATTAAACCAGTATTTTATTTCAAATTTCCAATACATATACTTCTGTTTATGGACATAGAAACCAAACTTAAAATTCATTACACATTACAAATGAATGAGGTAATATTAGGAATCCTCTAATGGTTTGTAAGAAAATGTAACATAATATTGACTTTGGGGATATTTTACATTTCCTATTCTGTAGTGACAAAAAGTTGGATCAAATGAGCTCCTGAATTCTTTCAATTCTTAGATGTCATTTTTAACACATTATATTTAATTTAAACAATGTTCTTCTTTTATTAATATTTATCATTTTCAGCTCCATATTCCCGACAGATTTCTTGAAGATAATATGTGGTACTTTTCTCTTTTCTTCTTACTCTTTTCCACCCGACTCCTACCTAAACAACCAACCATTCATTCCTAGTCAGTGACTCTAACCAGGCAATTTAGGTGCATCTGTGCAGTAAGTTCTGTAAGTGTTGAGCCCATCCACTGGGGCTCCACATTTGGAAGGTGTCTCTCCTAATGTTTAAGTGATGCTCATGTGCGGTAGGGGTCCATTGATACTGAGAACCATATTGGGACGCAGCAGTTAGAGCTCTAGTATTTGTGGACAGTGTAATGAAACTTACGGTTTCCAACATTTGGTGCCACACATGCCATTTCTGAACTGAACCTGCCTGGTTGGCTGCAACTAAGGGTTAACTGCCAAGTCGTTCATCTGTAAGTGCTGATACTTTAGGAAATAATTAAAATACTACAATAAGATTTATTGTTCTTGACAGTCTCTTAAAGGTAGGTGTGTGTACCCTCTTCATCCTTCTTTTCTTTTTTGTCACTTTAAGTGCATGATCTCAAGTAATATATAAAAGGATACTGTAACTCATTACCTCTTTAGAGCAATCATAAAGGATTTTTCAATGTGGGTTGTAGGTTTTATGCTAAGTTTTGGGTTTTTTTTTTTTTTTACCCCTATTTCTCATTGTTCCTTTCAACTAAAGATTGTCTTCTTTGCACTTCAGTCAAGAGGTTAATTGGATATTTTCAGTCTAAACATAGACTTGGTTTTAATAAAATAAACTTTTTAAAAGCATAAAGTGATAATTTGGTGGAAATCCATTCCAGTGAGGGCTAAGTGGCCTGTTCTTTAAGCACCCATGATTAGTTGTATGGTATTATCATTTTTATTCTGATTCTTATCGTCTGCTTGTCTGACGATCATAGGCACCTTCCTTTTACTTATATTTTCTCATGTTTTGCTTATATTTTCCTTGATACGAGCAAATTGAATATTTAGCCATCAGATTGTTTTTGATAGAGTATTAGAGTAAGGGTGGGAAGCTTATTTTCAAGTGTATATAAAGGACTCCTTGATAGTAGATGTTAAAAATGTCTTCTTGGGACCAGCAGGTGACATAATGGTTACATCATTGAAGTCTTACATAGTTGATTGTGGGTTGAGTCCTGGACCCGGTAGCTTAAACTCCTGCCAGGTGCGGGTGCACACAAGATCCCTAGAGGACAACAGAGGAGAAGGGAGTGCAGCATGGCCATCCCTCTGGGGTGTGATTTCTCACTTTCTGTCTTTCTGGAAAGTGCATGTGCCCTATAGCAAAAGCCTCTCTTTAAAAAAAAAAATCTATTTGTTTCAGAAGAAAAGATGGGTCATGATTTTCCATGAGATGGCATTAAAATAAACAAAGTAAGAATTTCAAAACCATATTTTACAAGTTTCCTATATTTAATCTGTTTTCACATTGAGATTATTTGATTCACACATACAACAACCTGTAAGTTGATAAATCCAGCTTATGGAAAGTTTTATAAATAAGTTGTAGTGATCTCCACTTGGTCTGGGTCTAGTTTTTTTTTTTTTTTTTTTTAAAGAGAGAGATTTTTGCTTTAGGGTACATGCACATGCAAGAGAGAGAGAGATAGAAAGCAAGAAATCTCCCCCCAGGGGGGATGGCCACACCACAAGCCCTCCCCCTCCATTCTCCTCTTGGGATTTTGGGATTGCACACCCACAGACACACACACACACACACACACACATGCACACGTACCTGGCATGAGGGATTTTTTTTTATTTTATTTATTCATTAATTTATTTTTAATTTAGCAGAGAGAGACACAAGAGAGAGAGAAAGAGGGGAAGTGAGAAGGCAAGCCACCAGGTCTAGGACTTAAACTGATCAGCCATGTGGGAGTGTACAGCACCTTAACCACCATGCTACCTGCTAGTCCTGGCCTGAGTTTTAAGCTACCGGGTCCGGGACTCGAACCACAATTGACTATGTGGGAGTTCAGTGACATAACCATTATGCCATCTGCTGGTCCCATGTGTGGGTCTAGTTTTAATTGACTTAGTCCTAAACTCAAAAGAGAGGAAAAGAAATGTGAGGGGGAAGGATGGTGTAGAATTTGAAAAGTTAGCAAACTCGATTATATCTATGACTTTTCTCCTTATTACCATGTACATGATATTATTTTAGGTTTGATCAATACTGGGAGATAGGAAGGGTTATCTAATAAAAACATTCTAAAAACTCTTGTAAATTTCTTTCACAGTCTGACTGCCCATACTCAGAAAAAGTTCCAAGTATTAAAATTCCAATGGACATCATGGAACAGCAACCTTTCCTAAGTGATAGCAAACCTTCCGACAGTGAGTAGAACTAACCTCTTGCATGCTTGCTCAAATATGATTTGCACCTGCAGAGAAAAAAATTTAGAACTATCATCTACATTAACTTTTCCCCTATTTGGTCTTCTTATTTTTTCTATGTAAAGATTGACACTTCATTGTTATAAAATTTTATGTTTACGTTTCCTAAACATCACTGTTAACTTTTTTCTTTTACCTTTATCCTTTTACGGTTTTGTTTGGTAGTCTTATTTTTTTTCCCTCCAGTCATAACCAGTTTTTGTTTTTGTTTTTGTTTTTCAATTGCTAAACTTATAACCATGTTTTTCATTGATTTTATTTTTACCCCCACTACTGGTATTTAGAATTGCAGCTTATAGTACTACATCACTGTCTGTTATTGTTTGTCTTCCTTAGGTTACAACCAATGACCGATCCACTCAAAATAAAAATTGCATCATGGGTCAATAATCAGTGACTCAATTGTTAATACTGAGAATTTGGAATAATTTTTATTTTCAATTAAATTGGCAATCATAGACATTAGGACAGCTTTTTTAGATATAACTTAAATGATCTATGCATTTTCTTAATTTCTTTTCTGCTATTTCAAAATCATCATTGTAACTGTACTGTCCCTTCTAAGGTGATGGCCTGGTGGCTGGGGTATAATGGTTTGTGAAATGAACATGATAACCACTGCACTACTACACTGGGAAACTAGGTTACACTGTAATGGTTTGTGACATACCATCTTTTCTTTCGTAACTGAGTTAACAGACCACTTGAAATAAAAGGGGCTACCTCTGTAGTAACACTGGCTTTTCTTTTTTGTTTTTGAGAGGTTTTTCACTATAGGGTGCGTGCACTCGCCAAACAGGCAGACAGAGAGAGACAGAGAGACAGAAAGTGAGAAATCACCCCCCAGAGGGGATGGCCACGCCGCAATCCCTTCTCCTCCATTCTCCTCTTGGGATCTTGGGCACGCACGCACACACGCCCTGCATGGGTTTTAAGCCACTGGGTCCGGGACGTGAACTGTGGTCGACTATGTGGGAGTCCAGCGATATAGCCATTACGCTAACTGCTGGTTTCAACACTGGCTTTTCTAATAGCAAGTAGCAATTGCTTCCAAACTACTTTAAATTCTTATTAGAAAAAAGTGTGTATTTTTTTAGATATAGATATACTTTGAAGTGTCCTGATATGTTACAGGCAAGCAGACAGTTGAGAATCTTTTACTTTTATTTGGCAATGGCACTTCCACTTCAATAATAGGTTACTATTACCAAGAAAATTTTCAACTGAATGGCAGTTGAAAAAAATGAGTATATTAGTTATCAATTACTGAGTCATAGATTACCACAAAAGTTAGCAGCTTAAGACAACAAGAACGTCTTTTCCTACACTGTTCCTGACATTTAGAAATTTAGGAGTAGCTGATCTCAATGGTTCTGGCTCAGGTCTTCCATGAGATTATAGTCAAGCTGTCCAGCTGTTGGCTGGGGCTGAGTCTCTGAGGATTTGATTGAAGCTGGGGATCTGCCTTCAAGCTCACTTATGAGGTCCTTGGTAGGAAGTTTGTTCCTTGGCCTGTGGGCATCTCCATAGCGCTGCCCACAAGATGACTTACTTCCCCCAGAGCCAGGGAAAAAAGACAAAGAACCAAGGTAGAGGATGCCATGTGTTATAACTGAACCTCAGAGTGACAGACCCTCATTTCTGCCATGTTCTATTGGCTGTGCAGATCATTGGAGGAAAGCGTTGTTTGAGGACATAAATACCATGAGACAGGGATCATCAGGAGCCATGCTGGAGGCTGGCAGCCACTGTGGGTGTAAAGAACAATGAATTAAAGCGGTATTACCTTTGGTGTCCAATTTGTAACCTATCACTTATAACTGAGCCTAATTTCTGCTCATTCCTATCCGTGGGATTTAATTAAGAATTTCTTTCTGAACTGAGGCTCCCAAAGCCATGTTATAATGTCAGTTTTCATCTCACGAGCTTTAACAGCAAACGAAGACTGTGACATACATAGACACAGCATGTTAACTTCATAACCTAGTATATCCTTCTAAGAACAACTTAAAGGCTGCCTTTTTTTTCTTTTTTTTTTAATAGGTTTTTTGCTATAGGGCATATGTACTCACTGGAGGAAGACAGAGAGACAGAAAGCAAGAAATCACCCCCAAGGAGGGATGGCCATTGCCACAGTCCCTTCTCCTCCTGGGATTTTGGGCACACATGCACATGTGCCTGGCATGTGTTTCAAGCTGCCTGGTCTGGGATTTGCACTGTGATCGACTGTGTGGGAGTCCAGCCATGTAATCATTATGCCATCTGCTGGTCCCCTAAAGGCTGCATTTAAAAAGCAGCCAAGAGCCAGAATTTGAGGCTCATGGAAAGTTTATATGTCAGTTTGTTCTTCACCTTCTCAAAACTCTGTAAAAGGATGAATTAAAAATTGATGCAACATTCGAAGTTTACTTAAAATACATATATATATGATCATGCCATCTGAAATATTTTCTGAGGTCATGTTCATCTTTTTAATCCATGAAAGAACAAAATTGAAAGGAGAGTTGTAATATAAGTAAGTACCTCAAAGAAATGTTTCCCCATGGATAATCGCAGGGCAAAATTGTGAATATTAAAGAAAGAAGGAAATCCAAGGGCAAGCCTTAGAATTAGGTAGATGCCACCCACCCCTAAAAATGATTCCCCTCTTACCTTTCTCATTGAAAAGATAGCAGTGGTCTATCCCTGAGAACCTAAAGTGAAAGGAGACAGTCACTTTGGCTTCATCACACTAGTTCCATTCTCAGTTTTATTCAATGTGTATTGAAATCCTCTAAACCCGTCTTTCTTATTCTTTCCAGTTGAGCTAAATGCACCAATTTTTGTGAAGGTTTTAATTTTCACTCTAATTTTATCCTTTATGAAGAACTACTATGTATGATTTTTTAACATAAAAATGTATGTTAATTATTTTTCCCCAGGAGAAAGATCGTCAACATTCCTTGAACGCCACACATCATGCTGATAAAATTCCTTTCCTTCAGTCACTGGGTATGCCAAGGTAAAGGAGAGCCCAGTATTTTGCCTTGTTCCGTGGGATGATTACTCCACAGAAATGTAGTCAGTGGTGGAATATTGGCAGAACTCCTTGTTCTCCTTCTTCTCTCTGATTTAATAAATTACCCAATGACCAAACTCAGCCTAGCTTTTCCTGGTAGAATGTATTCAATGGAGCGCTATTTAATCTTACAAATGATGGAACCTTTCAGTATCATTACGTTAAAGCCTAGGATCATTATGGGCTCTTATATTTTGAGGATCATCCCAGATTTAAGGGATAACATGATTCCTGGCTGTTCTCTTCTTGTAATTTCCTTTCCCCTTTCCAGAGCTCTAGAGATTTCAGAACCTACTTGATTCTCAAAAGAGTGAAATGTCTGAATGTTTTCATGTCAGTCTTTTTTTAAAATTTCTGACAGGGTTACCTAACTAGTAGTCCCTCTCATTTTTAATGGTTGTTATGGGAGTTGGGTTTTTTTGTTTTGTTTTGGTCTGGGTATGAGATCTTAGGAAATTTTTACTCAAATTTCTTTTTTTTTTTTTTTTCACATTTCTTGACTGTATTGATAACCTTCATCCCATTTTAAAATGTTTGTTTTAAATATGCAAGGAAGAGATAACTATTAAAGGAGAACCAAGATTGATACATCTGATTTCTGAATGATGCATAAAGATTGGGCAGATGAAACAGGAGATCTGATTTACTTACTGTTTCTTTTCTTTCTCTTTTGCTCTAGTCCTCCTAGAACTCCAGTAAAAGTTGTGCCTCAAATTAGAATAGAACTTGAGCCTGACGACAATGATTATTTCTGGAGGAGCAAGGGAACAGAAACTACATTGTAACCTGTTTGTCTTTCTTAAAACTGAAAGTTTTGTTATTGATGTTCCTGTTTTTTTTGTGTGTTTTGTTTTTGTCTGGCTGGTTTTTTTTGTTTTTTTTTTTTTCATTTCTTTTTGGTTTTGGTTTTTGGTCACTGGCCAAATAATACAGCACTCTCTCTGCTTCTCTCTTGCATAGGTAAAATCAAGACAATAGTTGCACCGTTCCCTAAACACAGCATCTGAGGACTCCCCCTTTCGTTCTTATACTTTCAGATGTGTCCTCTGACAATCAGAGTCCTCTGTCACTCAAGACACGCACAGACCCTGTCCTTTTCCTCTGTTAGGCAGAGGACAAAAGTATTAAGGATTTTATGACACCTTTTATTAAAGTATCAAAGGAACTTACAACTTTAGCTTTGGAGCTGTGCTTACTGGCTTGTCTTTGTCTGGTCCAGACAGAGTCCCTTCTCGCTTGTAGAGCTCTCCAGGACTGGAAAAAGTGCTGCTACTCTAACTTGCTCTTGCTCGTAAACCCTAATCTTAGAGTTATCAAAAGAAGAAAAACTAAAGGTACTTTACTTCCCTGTAGAGAAATCATTGCCATCATTGTAGCAAGTGCTGGAATGTCCCTTTTTCCTATGCAACTTTTTTTAACCCTTTAATGAACTTATCTGTTGAGTACATTGAAGAATATTTTTCTTCCTAGATTTTGTTGTTTAAATTATGGGGCCTAACCTGCAACTTATTTTTTGTCAATTTTTTAAACTTTTTTTTAATTACTGTAAAGAAAATGAATTTTTTCCTGCAGCAGGAAACATAGTTTTGAGTAGTTCTACCTCTTATTTGTAGCTGCCAGGCTTTCTGTAAAAATTGTATTGTATATTTCGTGATTTTTACACACACACACACACACACACACACACACGCACACAAGTATACAATCTCTAGGGTAAGCCAGAAGGCTAGATCAGATTAAAAACACCATGTTTCTAAGCATCCATTTTTCCCCAATTCTTTAAAAGAAATTCAACTGTTCTATGAAGGAGACTGAGGTGAAGAGAGAAACTCGTGTGTGATGGTAATAACTGACATAATAGGAGTATCCGGGCACAGATGCCGACTGTATCACCGTGTCAATGTCCTATGCAGTATTGTTAGACATTTCTTCATTTTGAAATATTTGTGTGTTTGTATATGTGCTCTGTGTGTGGCTGGTGCACATATGTGCAAAGTTAGAAGGATGAGAATAACAGTAGGTAAAAAGAAAAGTTAGCCAGTTTCCTGTCAGGTTTCATAAATCCCACACCACGTATGAGAAACTCACTGGGGTCCAAGAAGTTTAACCATTGCTCAAATGAGGATTAATATAGTCTACTATCCAGGTACCAGTCACCTTCATTGATCCAGTCGCCCATTTTTACAGTAGAAAATCTGTAAGCATCCCAATAGCCCATTCATGCAACTATAAAGTGTTACAAGAATGCAGGTAGATCTGCAAAAAGTATATGTGTATACACTTTATCAGTACTTGGACACACTTATTTTGGTATGCAAAGGTAATTATTCTTTATGATTGGGACATTCAGAAGATGTATGTGTACATATATATATATATGTGTGTTTCAAAGTACCATCTTGAAAATTAGATCATTACTAACCAAATTTAGCATCATATTTAAATGTAATGTTTTTAATAGATTACATTATATATTGTGAATTATATTATAAATACAACGTTAAATGTTGAATCCATCATTTTGGATTCATTTAACCACAACTGTGATATGCCCTAATTATAACATGTTGGAGGAGTACTAGAAGCAGAATGAAACCACTTATTTAGGTTTCATAGTATGCACTTGTTGACACTCATTCTTATATATATTAGTTAAATTCTAGTCCTCTTGTAATTTCAGTTATAGAAGTTTTATTATCCTGAGTTAGTTGTTACTTTTGTAATATCTGATAACCTTAAAACTTTTAATTTTCTACAAATTATACGTAATAACCCCAAGATTTTTATTAAAATGATAGTGGCAAATTGCATGTTATAATGTTAAGACCTCACATGCTAAATTTGACATGACATTTGTATGGAGAGGTGTCCTTAAAATTATTACTCAATGTTACCACATTTGCTATCACCCTAATATAAAACTATATAAGTCGTTCCCTTTTACCTTTTTTTTTTTAACTGATGGAAGCATCATTAAAATGTTTAAAAGTCAGGCATAATAAATTCAGCCTAACTTATGATTTCGCTAAATTGAAGACACTTTACTTTTATAAAAGCTCCACATACGAAAATATTTTTTCCTTTTATGAATCAAGTATATGAGGATTCATGCCCTTCTCTGTAGCTTTTAACAGAGTCCTGAAACAATTTAACATTGCTTCATTTTGGCCTCTGAATAGCTGAAAAATGTATCAGCACCTCCATTGATGATGAGAAGTGGGCATTCATGATATGAACACAGAATGGTACATTTCAGAAAGCAACAGTTAACAAACCATTTCAACATCCTGGAACCTAGGGAAGTTTTATTAAAGATCATTACTTTCAGAGAAACAGATGTTGTTACCAAATTAACAAGCAACCCCTGAGGTCCACATAGAGCCATTTAACTGACTTTACTCATTGACTAGGAATTAATCAGATATTAGGATGATTTTGTTTCTGTGCAAACTGGACACTAATACAATGGTAAATTTTTTATCAAGTATTTCTCTCAGATGTGAATTTGGAGGCAAAAGATTTAAGTTGCTTGAAGCAAAACCAAGTACACTCAATAGTTGTTAATCAGAAGTACAGTGGTTTTGGAAATTTAGTATTAAAGAGTGACCACTAGGCCAAGAGTTTGCATTATCAAGGATGCCTCTGGCTTTGCATTTGAGAGAAACTCTCTTAAAGACTTGTTTTTCTTGGTGAATCACTCTTTACTGTGTGAAGTGACTACTTGGAATCCTAATTAGTGTGGTCCTGGGTTGGGGTGGGGACATAAGCAGAAAAATGAAAACCTTGGTCTTTAGCCCCTACCTCAAAGAAGGGGGGAGAAAACAATTGTTGGATATTAGCCATTCAATTTTTGTGTATTTTATGCACAGGCACCAACACACACAGAGTAAACTTTTATCAGCTATGTATTGGTGTTTAATATAGAGAATGATTGTCTTCCAAGATTTTAGTTTTTTTTTTTTTTTTTTTTTTTTAAACTGTGTTAAAGTACTTGAAATGTATTGACTGCTGACTATCTTCAAAAAACAAAACGAAACCGTTTGGGTTGTATTACATAAGAAGTTGATATTGTTCAGGGATGGGACAAAGCTTTCTTCAGTCCTTTTCATACCACTTAATAATTTTGGTGCAGGAACCAGAGATTCTCTTGTTTATATCCCATGATCTTTCATAAATGCTCTTTACAGCATGAGCACGAAGCCCAGTGGCACTGAGAGACTGGAGTCAGAAAATGTTTCACGGCACTTCTTTCTCTAAAGGGCCTAGGGAGTTTCAGATGATGATGTCATTAAGTTTCATCACAGCCTGATATAAACAAGTTTTGTAATGAACACTAACCAGTGAAATTGTGTTTTGACCAGAAAATTGGATATGTCCTATTTCTTGGCTCATTTCATTGTGCTCTGTGACTACGAAAAAAAGAAAAAAAAAAACAAACCTTAAAAATCCTGAATTCTGTTTTCTAGGCAAATATTACAACTCAGGGCTAAAGTCATCCAGTGAAACTTTAGAGCCAGAAGTAACTTTGTCCCAGTCCTGCAATGTGAAAGGAGTGAATAGTTGCCTCTTTTTAAGCCATTTTCATGGCGGGTACATATCCGTACACATTACTTTTCAGAATCAATACGCACTTTCAGATATTCTTATTTTTATTCTCTTAAGTCTTTATTAACTTTGGAGAAATGATGCATCTTTTTATTTTAAATGAAGTAGATCAACATGGTGGAACAAAATGATAAAGAACAGAAAACATTTCAATATATTACTAATAATTTTTTTTCCAATATGAAACCTAAAATTCCTATAACACTATAGTATTTTACAGTTTTATGAAGCTTTCTATTGTGACTTTTATGGAATTAAGAGATGAAGAAGATGAGATATTTTAGCATTTATATTTTTCAAAATTAAATGTATACTTAAAATAAAGTAACTTTATGCATTTATGAGTGTTGAGTGCTTCTGTTCAACTCTTCAAACTCTTCAAATGCCTATTACTTTATTCCTTGGGGTTCTTTGGGGAATACAAAGATAAGTAGAGTTCCTGTCCTAGGATTGCTTTAATCACTCCAGACAAGAAGATGAAACAAGTGTCCAAATTATACAGGATAAGAGATGGTAAGAGTGATCTGTTTAAGTATCAGTTAAGTATTACCATGTTGAGATTCAAAGCTGAGAAAAAATATGTCCAACTGAGCACAATGGGAATGGCTTTATAGAGAAGGTCATATTGTTATTGTTCTTTTATAAAGTTAGTCAAATATAAATAACATTTTCTTGCATTCAGGATTCTATATATATAAAATTTGGGATTCAAAAAAAATATATAATATATACCATATAGTATGTAGTATAGTATATATTCTATTTTATATTACACATATGTATTTGTATAAATATGAATATTTTCTTATAAATATTCAATTCTCAAAGCAAGAAACAAACATACGGCATATGTTATATATTTATATTACACATATGTATTTGATTAAATATGAATATTTACATATAAATGTTCAATTCTCAAAGCAAGAAACAAAACAAAACTAAGCATAAGTTTATTTAAAAAATAATTAGTTGAGTTAACATATGGCCTGGTGTTTAATGATTTGATCCCACATGGTCAACCATGTAGTTAGAGTCTGAGATCTGGCAGCTTGACAAACATGCTTGGGGCATGTGCCTATGTGCCAAAAATCCCAAAGCAAAGAGAGAAGAAAAGGGCATGACCATGCCTCATCAAGGGTGCTTTCTCATTTTCCCTCTTTCTTACTCTGACTCTCTCTGGCCAGTACATATACCCTCTGGCCAAATAAAATAAAATAAAATAAAATAAAATAAAATAAAATAAAATAAAATAAAAATTACTCAGGACTGGGATGGTGAGTAGTGTTAATGCAATACTCTAAAAAACTGACCCATATGGGAAGGTTCTAAGCATGTGTCCGGCCATCTCCCTGTATAGACCAAGTACACATATTTCCATGGTCCAGGATTTGCTGAAATTATAGATGGATCATGGTGTGAAGACTCTGTCAGGGGCACCTGTATCTCTCTCTCTCTCATCTTTCTCACTCACTCAGAGAAAAAAAAAGTTAAAATAACTAATCAAATGAACAAAATTCCAGACTTATTTTTCACAAAAGGGACATTGCATATATTTTAGCTAGTCCTATTCAAGCTTTCATGCAGAATGTAAAATTCTCTAGGAAACTTCAGTCCAGTCCTAAGTTATAGTCAGAGCAGATGATGGTGGGTGGGTGGGGAACAAGCAATAGGAGGAGAGAAAGAACCTTTGGTAGCAATGAAAAGTTATATTGGAAAAACAACAAGGCATGAACATTGGCTAAAACTTGGAATCTTTCAATCTGGAAACAATATGGCGGCTGAATGTCTGAGCATGTGAGTACTGGTGATGGTAGTGATATGGGGGTAGGGGGTGTTCATGGAAAAGAATTTGGATGTTATTATTAGGCTAGAAGAAACAGAAGAGCACACTTAGAATAGATCACAATATGGAGAATTTGATGAGTTCTTCAACATACCTACAGAGAATTCACTGAATATTGCCATGCATAACAATAACTGATTCTAGAATTATATTTGGTATATTATGAAAAGAAATATACCTCTACATATAATTTTACATTGCAACAATTTTTCATTATGCTACTGGCTTACCTGACTTGTCTGAGAACTATTCAATAAGAAGTAAAACATAGAACCCTCTGAACTATTGAATGATCTGTCTCAAGATCTAGGCATGAGGCTGGCAGGTGGTGTGGGGGTTAGGGCACTGGACTCTGACATAGGAGACCATGGTTTGAGTCCTGGACCTGGCAGCTTGCTTTATCACTCCCATACCACCACTCCCCACCCCTATGTCTCTATTATTATTAAAAAATAATAATGATGAATAAAATTAAACAAAAGAATTGTCTCCATGCCCTCTTGTCAAGCAGGCTAATACTGGGCTCTTTTCCTTAGGTTAAAATCCATAAGGGACTTCTCCCTGAATGTTGAAACAGAGGAGAAATTAGAAACCCCTATGTAAATACTCTGCTTATCCTGACATTAATAACTGATTACCTTCTGTACCCCCAGGGAAGGCCTGAGTGTCACCTGAAGACACAAAGCTCCCTGTTAAACATTTTTCTCTGTTAAGGATGTTGATATGTACAGATGATACAAATCACAAAACATTTGAGGAAAGGCAATTCTATAAACTTTACTAAATAAGATTAGTAGAAACCTAAACTCCATGGGGAAAAACAATTGCAAAGAAGAGAACTTAAATTATTCTAATTTGTTTTACAATTGAGAAAATATTACTTGTACATTTTTTTTTTCAGAAAGGAAGGGAGATGTCTTCAGTACAAACTTGCATGCTAAGAATAAAAAATAATTTAAAAATAATTCTACGTTTTTCTGTGCAAAAAAAGTGTCATGACTTTCCTGACGACCCAATTTTTAAATATTGAGGGCTGGACAGAGGCTGAATGGAAGCGCAGTGCTTGGCTGACCCACCTGGGAAGGTCCTGGGCATCGAGACCTCCCTCCCTGAACAAGTTGGGAGTGTGCATGCTCATAACGTGGGACTGGCCGAGGCGGGGAGCCGATTGCTGTGTGAAGACCCTATTGAGAGTGCCTCTCTGCTTCTCTCACACATGAAAGAAAGAAACTTAAAAAATATACAAACACACATATATACATAGCATTATGGAATTTCAGATCACCAATAGTAAAAATTTCAGAACACAAAGAATAAAAAGTATATCTTCTTAAAATTGTCCCAAAAAAGTACCACCAACAGAGAAGTCAGAACCAAGGTGCTGAGAGTCTTTTCAAAAGCAAAATTGGATTCTGACAGTTATTAGTGCAATGTCTTAAAAATTCTAGGAAAAAATTATTTTAAGCCTAAAATTCTAGAACCAACTAACCTATCAATCAAGTATTGGGCAGGAAAAATAATATTTAAAAATATGTTAAATATTGTCATAAAAATACAAAAATCTTTAAATTTTATCTTTCATTCACCTGTACTTAGGAAATCACTCAGTAAGGTACCTCAGTATGAGGGATTTAACTGAACTGAGAGTCAAGGTCACAGAAAACAACTGAGTCACTCTTACTGGACAGTGAAGGCCAGAATAACAGCTGTGCATAAGACTTAGTAACTAATGAAAACTAAAGTAAGAGAGAGAGAGAAAACTTGGGAAAGGAAATAGAAAAACTATTCCATGGAACAGGTAAAATGATCGAAAACTTTGAGGGGCGGGGAAGCATATAATAAAAGCTTTCGAGGTGTATGTCATGCTGGGTAAAGTGTCTTCACAATTTAAATGATGTATAGTGATTTAATGTATGAATAAAAAAAACTTAAAGTTTTTAAAGGGTAATTTAGAAATTCTGGAAAAAACAGGCCAAGTTGTGGCAGTGTGCACTGGACACTACTACTAAGCAGACTGCGGTCATGTGGGAAGCCCAAGTTTAATTCCCAACTCATCCCAAAAAAAGCAAGACCCTGTCTAAAATACCACACATGCACACACACACACACACACACACACACACACACACCTGGCAAAACAAGAAGTTGTGTAGGAAAGACATGGCCCAAATATTATGAAATCAGTCTAAATTGGAATAGAAGTAATAGACTTCAAAGAAAAGGACATAGACAGTCCAATGACAAGTAGCAATCTTGAAGATGCTGGAATGTGGGAAGAAGGCATATGTTTATTTTTTCCTCTAAAAAGACAGAATCAATCTGAAAATCCAAGAAAAATTAAATAGTGTAGAGGCAATAAATAAATATGTGGTAGACCAGTTTGAGCTTTTGATGGAGCATAAAAAATGAAAAGGTACTTGAATTTGACATTCACCTTTAAATGACTCAGGCAGAATTATATGGGACATGCAATTGTAGGCCACTACTTGGTTCTGCTGAAATATGAACAGAACCATGAAAATAGAAACACTATGTGTTGGTTTCAACATTGAGAACATCCCACTGACATAATATGAAACATTAAAAAATGTTAGCAAACTGAATATGGTACTACCCTTGACAATGGATGAGGTAGGTCACAGTGTTGGGAATCGGAAGTGAGAGAGAAAAGATGGAGAGAAGAGTGAGGCCACTGCATCAGTGATGTGTTTGGAAGAAATGACATTTAATTTTGCCTGCAATAGTCTGGTGTTAGGCAGCTTTTGACTTCTACTGAGGGTGTGGATGTCAGGGTTGGAATCTCTGGGATTCTCCTTGGGGGGGATGGGGGTTATTCATAGTCACAAGGTAGCCATTATATTTTCAGTCATCACAGCAAAACAGGAAGGAGCTGGTAGATAGACAAAGGCCTTTCTCTTATGTAGGCATTGCCTTTATATTGGAAAGGGAAATTGTATCCCACAGACACCCCTAATGTCTCATGCAGATCTAAATTACCTGCCCACATTTGGATCAATCATTGTCGCAGGTAAATTTGATTGGCATCTCCTGGGATTGGGAGAGGGGTCTCCTTTCCTGAGCTGGAAGTGTCTCAATCCACTCCCTGAATAAACCGAGGTGGGTGTGATGGGGTGGTAAGAAAGAATGCTGACAGGCAAAAAACATCATCG